GGTGAGGGGGTGGGGGTAGAAAGTGGAGACGAAAGCAGACGACAGAACATTGTTAGAGAGCAGGAACAGACATTTTAGAGAAGAAAATTCTCCGTCGCTATCCGGATTCGAACCCAGGACCTGTTGAATGAGAGGCGAACACCTTAGCCTCTAGAAAGCGTGAGCCCCCTTGGCTCTTTCTTCAATGTAAGTGTTTTTACGCCCCCATTGACACTATTTCTAATATATACATTTAGGAGGTGGACTTACAACCCTGGCTATGAGGGCCACCCCAGGCTGAGAGGGACACAACAACATCCCAGCAGAAAGACCGAGATACTCGATAAAAATGTTTTACTCAGTCGTGAATCGAAATCAGGTCTGCAGTACTCTGCAGTGTGCGACAGCGAAACAGGAAACGCCTAAGTAACCGCTACACCACAAGCGCCCGTGAACTGGCTCTGAAATTCCTTTAAAAAATCGTGACGTTTTCGTAACCTCCAGAATTAAATAATTACTAGTGACTAATTTCAATAGTATTTTAAATTAAAAATAAATAACGGTAATGAATCAATTGAATAATTAACAAAGTCCATCTCCCACCTCACGTAATTGTCTCCATATCCTCATTATCATGTATCCAGAAAATATAATTAAAAATATTAAAGGCAGGAATGCGTCAGGTGAAGTTTTAATTTTAATAGGAAGTCAGGAACCAGACAGTAGATATAACGGGAGTCTGAGCTAAGGTCAAGGCCGGTTCACTGACTTAATGGCTAAGGGCACCGCCGGTGGTGATAAGCTGTCTAAATTCTACCGGATTCTGATTCTATCCACACCCACGCTGTGGCAACTTTGCTCATTACCACTAATGAATGCTCAGGCTGGGGTTCGCTTCTGTTATTACTGACAGGCGTCTGTGGTATAGCGGTTAGGCGCTTCGCTGTCGCACGCAGGAGACCCGAGTTCGATTTCTGAAAGTGAAGAAAACATTTTTATCGAATACCTGTCCCGGTCTCTG